GTGTGCCAAACCCTGAGGAATTAGATGTAGAAAACATGTTCCTGGGAACAGAGCAGGGAAGATGAGTAACTAACTAAAAGCTGAGATACCCCATAATTCACTGCAGAATTGTCACCACCACAGTAAAGTACATTCATGAGAACTCTGTGCAACTTAATCTTGTACCAAAGACAATTTAGTAATAAATCATTTGTTAGTAATAGCAGCACAATTTCTTTTAAAAGCTTCATGTAACAATTGTGCCCCACTTTTTTTGCAAAAAATTTTCACATAAATCTGAAGATTATGTGGTAAAATATGGTAAATCATAAGAGTCTTTCTAAATGGGAAGTATCAGAATAGATCAGTCATAATAATGAGTATTATTGCATGTTACTCTCATTGTTATGTGTGTGTGAATATGAGTACTGAGCATTAGAAATGCTCTGGAAGATCTTGGGTGAATAAAAGTAGAATAAAGACCATGTTTTTCATGATCTATTTTAGGAAAAGCTAATAATATCCACCCTCAGTTGTGGATATGGTGTTTTTTAAAAAAAGTATCAGTGACAGAGAGTGACATTTAATAGGTACATCTGTCTGTTGTAGGTTGACTTTATTTTTAATTGTAGGGGATGTGTGTTGTTCATTATAGCAACCTGACTCCACAGAGCAGAGTGGTTGGAGAAACACACTTAGGTTATTTGGTTTATCTAGGCTGAACAATTTCCAAATGCCTGGTGTTTATTTCACTACCAATAACACAGTGAAACCTGAGTATATCTGACCATGAGAATTTCTCAGCCCCTTCTGGGTCAAAAAATCATAAAGTAAAATAAAGGATAAAATTCAGCTCAGTTTTTAGTGGTTAATATTCTTGATGGTTTATATGTGACAAGACCTCCCAACTCTAATTCTGACTGATTCTATAGATACCTTCTTATATATAAAAATCATATTCCTCAAACCCAGCAAGGTGCACATCCCTGTAATTCCAGCAACTCAGGAGACTGAGACAAAAGGATCATAAGTTTGAGACCCATCTCAGCAACTTAGTGAGACCCTTAGCAACTTAGCAAGACAATTTTTCAAAATAAACAATTAAAAATGATGGGATGTAGCTTATGGTAAAGTGCCCCTGGGTTCAATTCCCAATATAGGGAAAATATTCTTTCCGAGATGTAGAATTTTAAATCAATTTATATGGGATTTCCAAAATGGATAAATATTATAGTGTTATAATAAGAGTACCATACAATCTTGAACTAGGGATCAAAGGCTGAAATTCCAAGTTAGTTCTGTTTTTCTCTGGCTGATTGACCTTAGGTAGGTCACTTCTCTGAGCTTTTTTCCTGGTCCCCAAATTAAAGGTAATAATCTTGCCTCTCCTACATTATGGTAGGAACCTTGGTATACAAGGTAAGAGCAACAGTTTGTTGAGATTTAAAGTGGATTGAGTTTTGAGAAACCGATTGTTATTGATTGACATTAAGAAGATAAATTAACTACTTTTGTATGGACTGGAGCGATTACTTGGTAATTTGCACCTTCAATTAGAAGACTGTCCTGGGTGAATTTAAATCCAGATATTGGGTTCCCAGAACATCAGCCGTCTGAATTGACTACATTGATCATCCTAGAGCTCCATTAATTTTTCTGAAAATGGTGTTGGGTGGGTGGGGATGGGAGTGGTGACAGTTTCTAATAAATCATAACAAGTGTTAAAATTTAGAAGGGGATAAAACAAAGGGACTTATACAAATAGGAGCCCAGGCATCATTATTCCCTAGTTTAAATGCTCTACCCTTTCTGATGTGTGTCCCGGTCATCCTCCATGTCTTCTTCTTCTTCTTTCCTTAGAGAATCCTGCTCAATGTTGACCAACTCTTCACCCTGGAAATCATTAGAGCTGAGATGAAATTAAAAAAAAAATACTAGGCATTATGGACTCTGATCTCCTTAGCTCAGAATTCAGACCAAGGATTTCCAATAGGTCTTTTAAAATTGTTATGCAAAAAATGTCTCCTATTATCTACTGCATAGACATTTTTTCCTCCTATAATTATGAGAAATTCAGGATCACACTTATCTCTCCCTTTCCTCCCAGAGGAGCCGTTGGCATTCTTTCCTTATGGGAACAGGCTCATCTTTCTGCTTTTTCTCCTGTCTCTACTGTAATTATTCAACACCAGTTCTGTTTTCAGGCAAGAGTTAAATGAAGTTTAATATCAGAGGCTGCATAAATCTCCCTTTATACTATACCAGCTCCAATTTCCAAAGGACTGAGATCAAAACTACTTTTATTTTTCTGGCAAGCTCACTGCTTGGTCTGCGGAGGTGAATCCTAGCTCAGCATCTTCAAGAGATGACAAACCAATGTTCCCTTGGGACATAACATCCTTCTATCACTTGGGTTGAAGGGGAATATTATTATTTCCCTTACCCAGCAAGGCCTGCTCTAATTAATGGAATGCAGTGTATACTTGAGCCATCTTTCGTGGACTCTCTTTCTAGGTGCACTCTGAGCTCTCAAATATCCACAAACCATCTTATTCCCAGGAAGGCACAGAAGGTTTTTTCCCCTTTCCCTTTCTGCAATAATGTCTCATCTGATAGGTCTGGCTGTTGTAACCAACAGCATGGAAACTTGTGGTGAGGGGTATACAGATGTAGAAACAGTTTTGAACGTGCACCAAGAGATAGGGTGTCAAATTTCAGCTTTTGTCATGTGTTATAACCACTGTGGCCTCTGATTCTCTGAACTTTATATCATAAATTGTTAGCATGCTTCTGAAAAGAAAGAATCTTCAAAGATCACATAGCCCTGCTGGGCGAGGTGACGCAAACCTATTATCTCAGTTACCTTGGAGGCTAGTGCAGGATCACAAGTTCAAGGGAGACCTGGGTAACTTAAACCCTGTCTCAAAATTAAAAAACAAAAACAAAACAAAACAAAACAAAAAAACGGAATGAGGTTACAGTTTAATGGTAGAGTATCTCTGGGTTCAGGCCCAGAACTAAAAAGAAAGAATAAAAAAGGTCTCTTCAGTCCTCTAATGCCAAATTCTGTTATACTTATGATTCAGATTACCTCATTTTCTGGGATGGACCCCAGAAACTAGGAAGGGGAGAACAAAACCTGAAGAAGGACCAGCTGAGTCCAAACTGAAAATGCTAAGAACAGGGGTAGAGATGATTCTTATTTCTTTATTTCCTTCTAAGATCTAGCTTCACCCATATTCAAAGTTTGGCTAACAGTTGTCAGATGGTTGTTATTTTCTTGCAGTGACAGTGTCCCAAGTTATCTACTCTTTATGCAAAGCCCAGCATTAGTATCCTTTTCTCTTTTTTCAATACTTTCTTATCTTTTTAAAAACACAACACCAAAAACCCCTTGACCCCTACAATCATGGGGCATCTTCCCTGCACCTTCTCTACCTGCAAAGAGTTGTCCCTTCCCTGTCTGGCCACTGCAAAGGGTTGCCTTTACTTTTCATGACCACTTCCCTACTTCCTGTTCACTGTAGAACCACTGTGATTATGTTTCTACCGACCAGCTTCTGCCAAAGTTAAACAGGGATTACTTTGCCAAATCCAGTAGCTATTCCTCAGTCTTTACTTTTCTGATTATAGTTGTAAATAAATTTTTTAATTGACTTTTTAGAGTAGTTTTAGGTTCATGGCAAAACTGAGATGAAAGTACAGAGATTTCCCATACATCCTCACACAGCCGCCAGACTATAACATCCTGCACCACAAGTGTATATTTGTTACTACTAATGAAGCAGCATTGACACATCATTGTCACCCAAAGTCCACAGTTTACATTTAAATTCACTTTTAGCGTTGTGCAGCTAACATATACTCACCATGGTAGCTTCATGCAGAATCGCTTCATTGCCCTAAAAATGCTCCTATTCACCCTTCTCTCCTCCCCAACTCCTAGAAACCATTAATCTTTTTACTCTCTCCATAGTTTTTCCTTTTCTAGAATGCCTTATATTTGGGATGGTATAGTATGTAGCCATTTCAGATTGGCTTCCTTCACTCAGTAACATGCA